GTTTAATTCTTTTTATTTTGTGGTGGTGGGCATCAAACCTAGGGCCTCACACATACTAGGCAAGTACCCTATATCCCAAACACTGAATCATGATTTTTCTATTTCCTTGGGGCATCATTTGTTTTTTTGTTTTTGTGGTGCTGGGAACTAAGCCCAGGGACTTCACACTGAGCTACATCACAAGTCCTTTTGAAAAATTTTGTTACTTTAAGACGGTCTCACTAAGTTGCTAAATTGCTTGGGCTGGGCTTGAACTTGCAATCCTCCTGCCACAGCCTTCTAGAGTGCTTAGATTATAGGCAAGCACCACCACACCCTGCTTCCCTCTACATTTACAAGTTAGCATTCTATTATAAGAAAACATCTCCCTTGTGCCCTGTTTACTGTGTGTATGTGTGTGTCTTTTTGAGACAGGGTTTCACTATGCTGTTTAGGCTGGCCTTAGACTCACTTTGTAGCCCAGGCTGGCCTCAAATTCACAGTGATCTCCCCCGCCCCCCCACCCCGCCTCAGCCTCCCAAATACTGGGATTATAGGTGTGTACCACCACACCCGGCACTTATTTATTTATTATTACTTAAAGTAAAAAGGAGAATCCATCAATCCCAAGCAAACCACAGAGTCACATTAGCAGATCAGAATGCAGCCATCCCTTAAGGATTTATACTACTTATGTTTTTCTTTTTTAAAAACTCAGCTGAAATTAAGTTTGTGCTTAGTCATTTAAAATAGAAACTACAATATAAGCTAAGTAATGGTATGTGCTTGTTACAGTTTGTGTCTAGATGTCCCCCCAAAGCCTCATGCAGTCATGGGGTGGGCTTTTAAAGTTTATGATTGATTCATGGTCCAATCTTGGGATTATGGGTGTGAGTGCTATACCCGACTACGTACAATATAAGGGAGGGAAAGAGGCTTGCTCTCTGCTGCTCCTCCCTTTTGCTCTTGTTGCTTTTCCTGTTTTCTATCATCATGAACTGTTGCCTTCTGCCATGTGCCACTCTGCCTTGGAACCAGCTGAGTATGGGCTGAAACCTCCACAAACTATGAGCTAAATAAACCTTTTCTTCCTTAATTTTGGGTGTCAGGTATTTTATCCCAGCAAAGAGAGAAAAGTAGCCAAGACAGTGCTATAGTCCCGGCTACTCAAGAGGGTGAGGCAGAACTGCTTGACCCCAAGTGTTCAAAACCAGCCTGGACAAAACAGTAAGACCCTGCCTTAAAAAAGAGACTAAGTAAATTTTAGAAATGAATACTGTGTTAGCTTTCTGTCACTGTAACAAATACCTGAGATAAACTATGTGAAAGAAAGGTTTATTTTGGCTCACAATCTCAGATGTTTCAGTTGATGGTCAGTTGTTTCTTTTGCTTCTGGGCTTATGGCCACATAGTCCATCACAGTGGGAAAGTGTGAGGTGTTGGTTGGGCATGGTGGCACACCTCTGTAATCCTAGCACTCAGGAGGCTGAGGTAAGATTTCTGTGAGTTCAAGGCCAGCCTTGGCTATGTAGTGAATTCAAGACCAGCCTGAATTACAGAGTGAGACCCTGTCTCAGACAAACAAACAAACAAACCAGAAAATTTGAGGTCCATGTTCATCTCATGCCAACCCAGCAGCAAGAGAGACCACAGGGCCCTGAGTCCCAATATTCCCTCAAGGACACAGCCTAAGGACTTGACTTCCTTCCATAAGGTCCCACCTAAGGTCCCTACTGCCTACCCCATAATGCCATTGGCTGGAGACCAAGCCCTGGCATTTAGGGGAGAGTCAAGATCCAAACTATAGCAACACAAAACAAGGGTACTGAAACATGTGCTACTGACCTATCATCACTTTGGCTGGTTTTTTTTTTTTTTTTTTTTTTTTTTTTTTTGGCAGGAGGCAGGGTGTTATCAGCAAAAAGCTACAATAAAACAAAGCCTTTTATTTGTTTGTTTTATTTGTTTGTGCTGGCAATCAAAGCAAGGGCCTTTGGCATGCTAGGCAAGTACTCTACTACATCATTATCCCTGAAGGTTTTAATAATAGTTGAAATTTTTAATAACTTATATATTCATCAAGTGTCCTTATTCATTACTCAGGAAATATTTCTGTTTGTTTATTTGAAACAGGATCTCATTATGTAGTTCAAGCTAACCCTTGAACTCACAATGATCCTCCTGCCTCAGCCTCCCAAGTGCTAGGATTATAGCCCTATATCACTGTTAAAATGAGAAAAAACTTCTATTTGCAAGGATGTGGAAAAACTAGAATTTCATACACTACTTGTATTAGCACATTCCCGCCAGCTTGAACCACTGGTTGTACATGCACTATTGTCCCATTGGGCAGCTTGTTCTACTGATGGGACAAACAGATCTAATCACTTTTACTGGCCTTTTTACTTGTAAAATTAATAAAAAGTCTATAAATGGATTGAATCTAATTTTTTACCTGAATTTGAATAATTACTGCCCAAATGTAAGTATTAATACTATTCATACCAGTTAAAAATTATTACCGTAATTAACAAATTTATTTCATTAAATTAAATTTATATTCATGAATTTCTTTAAAATATTTTATGCAGAAAGGTGACTGATTTATGCAGTGTAAAAAACATCATTACGCATTCAGCTCTTTTGGGGGCTGTAGTGGCACCCACTGTTTTCAGCTAGTCATGCATGTATATGTGATTCAAGCTGGCAGCAGCAGGAGGACTGAATTCAGTCAGAGGCCCCCAGCAGCAAACATACCAATTACAGCCCCTTCATGAACATGGAAATCATTTTTGCAGTGTCTCCTCAAACTGAACATACATACACACCTCTGATCAAGTAACTTTAGTACCAAATACACATCAAGAATCTCATCGAATGGCCCAGAATGAGACATTGCCAGTGTTTCCAGTGGTTGGACAGTGTGTAGTGACGGGGTAGATATCACAGGAAGCTCTTGGGGTCTTCATTTTCTGGTTCTGGATGCTGATACTGTTTTTGGATGCATTTTATTTATGAAAATTACAGTTATTTGGACTCCTTTTTCCATATGTATATTCTAATTCATTTTCTATTTGCCATCCTATAAGAATCTCTGGAAGCAATAATAGTGCATGTAAGAGCCCACTTTAAAAAATATAACAGACCTTTTGTTATAGTTTAGATCTAGCAAGTCCTCAGAAGTCTCTTGTGTTCAGCTGTTAGACTTCTGGAAGGTGACTGGATGGGAGGACTGCTGGCCTCTGTGTACCGCTGAGATCATAGCTGAGTGTGCTGTGAGCAGGTGGGGTCTGGTCAGAGATGCAGGTCACTGGGGCCTTGACCTGGAAGGGGGTGTCTCCTTCTCTGCCTCCTTGCTGATTCCTGGTGCCATGGGGTGAGCAGCTTTCTTCCCCCATGTCCTCTTACTGTGCATTTCTGTCTTGGAGCCAGATAGCTTTGGACTGAACCCACTGAGCCAAATACTGTAAACTTCTCCACCTTTAAGTTATGGGTGGGTGTTAGGTATTGTGTCCCAGCATTGGGAAAGGAGCTAAGACACCTTCATTTTCCACTGATACTAATGAATACAAAACCATCCCTTGTTTTATAATGCTGTATAATTTTACAGACTCAGCAGAACCCCTCCACAGTTGCATGAGGGAGGACAGGTATTATTGTAGTGACCACCAGTCCAGGCTGAGACCTATTCTTCCAGCTTAATTATATATAGCCTTCTGCTTACTCTCCAGTACCCTGCTTTAATGATAAATCACATGGCTACTACACAAATGAGCAAAGAGGAGCCCTGAGCGTCAGTGTCCTCGGTGTTCAGTCCTTGATGTCTTGCCCAGTATCAGTCATTAGCAGGTTGTGTGCCTACAACTTAAAGCCATAACTTACACAGTTATCATGGACACTACCCTGGGGAGCTCAGGAAGAGAAATGGACAAGTGTGTCACTCTGTCCTGGTCTTTGAGGCTGAGGATCCCAAACCTCAGCTCTCTGGACCAGGCAGGGTCAACCCTGTTTGTCCAAGAGAGTTAAACTGCCTTGATTCCTCAGAGTGGGACTGCTTTCTGGCCTCTGCCCATGGAGGCTCGTCTCATACACAGATGTTAGGTTGTCCTGTGGGTCTGCACACTGCTTTGTGGACCCCTTGGTCTTTAGAAGCCTACCTGGCCTTATAATATGACCAACTGTCTATGCCGCTGTGCGTGGTTATGTCCTAGCCCTCAGCCTAAACGTACATCCTCGAATATTGGCTATGGTGAAACTTATCACTATTGATGTATAAAAGTTTCCATTCTCCACAGGGAGATGAAAGTGGTCTGATTAGAAGGTTGGATCTGAGACACAGTGCACTCTAAAATATTACGTATATCAAAATATTTTAAAAAGAACATGGAAAAAACAAAGGAAACAACTGTAAACCTAAATGACAACTGTTGAGCATGTTAATATAGTACAATTGTCTATTATTTTTGTAATATTACTTTTATAAACCCAGTGCTATTTACATTTATTAAAAATGTAATCTCTTACTTGCTGGGAACAGAAGTTCTTTTTAACTATAAACCTTATCTAAGAGCCTTCTATAAATTATCTTAAAATTAAATGTTTCATCGCCGGGCGTAGTGGCGCACACCTGTAATCCCAGCACTCGGGAGGCTGAGGCAGGAGGATCTTTGAGAGTTCAAGACTAGCCTGGACTACAAAGTTGGCTCAAGGCCAGCCTGAACTGCATACGGAGACCCTGTCTCAAAAAAAAAAATTAAATGTTTCTAAGATGACCATACTACTCACTGCTTGCCCTTTCATTTTTAATTTGTCCTTTCTTAGAGAAGCCTGAAATTGCTTAATTATAGGCACATTAGCAAACTACAGGGGAACTGCATTAACTATTCAAAACTGTTCTTCTAGGGATATAATTAATTATTGTCATTTTTTATTCAAAAGAAGCATCTGCTTCAAAATTATAAAAGTGGTACAAAATGTAATTTAAAAAGCTAAACTTTTTTAATGTGTTTCTTTTTTAACAGCCTCTAAGAGTGGTAACCAAGACATGTCAGCCTGGTTCAGTCTATTTGCAGACTTGGATCCACTTTCAAACCCAGATGCCATCGGACACTCAGATGATGAACTTCTTAATGCTTGAATGAAGTTATAAATGTCATCACAGGGGCTTTGAGACATCAGTTTCACAATATATTGCCTTTGTGGAAATTAGTTTATGTTGTAATCCACACACAAAAAGCGTGATGTTTGCAAATCTCATACCTATCAACCAACCTTAGACAGATGGTAAGGACAACATTTGGACAGATTACATGTATTTTTAATATTAAATTTGCAGTTGTTGATACTGTGTGGAAAATTATAGAAACCACTGAGTTGGCTATATTTCAATACCAAAATTTGTCTCAAATAACAAGAATAATTCTGTCAATAAGGAGTTAGGCTTATTTCTTTGGAAAGTAGTTTATATTTAAGTTAACCTTCCTGGCTATAAGCATTCTGTATGTGGATAAAGGACAGCATGTACATTTAGTTGTAGTTTGGGGTTGTTTTTTTAAATAAAACATTGCAGGGGGGATTTTTTGTTATGGAAAATAGCTCTAGAACTAGACCAGCTTTAATTTTAGTTAGAAAGATAGAGTAAGGTTTGAGAACTCAAGCTGCTTTAATTAGAGAAACTTATAGTTTTCTCCATTTGGAGGGCAGACTATCAAGTTACTGTACCTTTCATTCATATGAAATCATGGACACTTTTAATTCCATTATTAAATGCTCATGAGGGAAGTAGTGGGGTGTTTGATTTTCCAAGCCTGTCCCCTGAGGAAATGGAAGACAATCTACCTTCCCATCTTCTAAACCACAAGAATGTATAAAATATTCAAGACACCTGCCAAGTATCTTTGAACCTGGTTTTTCACACATTACTACAGTAATATGCAGTATTCATATTCTCTCTGAAAACAAAATGGAGGAGCAGTTCACTAACCAGCAGGCAGTAATATTCCCAAAAATACCTAGAAGCTTCTATCTGAATGAGGGAAGACAATTCTAAACATCTTAGAATTGTACGTAACTGTTTACCCCATACTTCTTAGCAATACATAATAGAATACTTTCTCACAGAGATACAGAAAATCTGTGTGATCAACAGGGAATATCTTATTTTTCCACTTATCCTTTCCATGGGTAACATCAGCTGAGGCGCTTTGATTACTGGGTAAAAAGTATCACACTTAAAACCTGTGTTTTGGAGGGAAGGCTTTTTGATGGAAGCTGGTGAAAGCTGATAAAAACACAACTGCTGTCCACATACATCAATTATTTAACTTTGTGGGCTTTTTTTTTTCTTGTCCACCTGTTAGTTTTAAGGCAGTTTTCTAAGTGTTTTTTGTCTTCCAGTACATTGCAACTCCATAAGAAAACAATCAAGTTATTCACAGTAGTTTGCATGTGCTCCTGGCTTCTGAGGAGACTCACAGAACTGCTTGTGCTCTCCAAGTCACTGTGTACAGTAAACACTTCTGGGGCTGGAGCAGGTAAACAGGCTGCAGCCCACCTCAATCCGAAGCAGTCTGGCCGAACTGCAGTGTTAGCGCCCAGGATGCTCCAGCACAGGTACGGGGATTACCTCGTCTGAGGGCAGAAAAGAGGCCTTAGGGAAAGGTTATAAAGTCTTCTTTTACTATCCTTTCACAGCATTATTCATATTTTTACCTTGGTTTTAATGAGCTGTTATTATCTCTTCAGATACATTCTTTCCTCTTTCTTTTTAATTCAGTGAACTTTTCCAGAATGCAATATTTCATTGTTCTACCAAGATTTAATCACCAATGCTAATGAATCACCGGGACTCTAGTGCTCTCTACTTTGAGTGCCTCAAAAGATAACTTTATGTCTTAGGTTTTTGTATGTATTTATTTATTTAGTTTAGGTAGCCTTTCTTCCTAACATGTTCATTCACAGAGACTTCCTTCTCCACCGTGTTCCTGTACGGATGCATCTGTTCTATGGTGTAAACTCAAGACACTTCGATGAGTAGAAATACCAGGGATCTACACAACAGGGACCTGAACCCCAGACTGTGACTGTGAAAGGGTAAAATATTCAGTGTTTCAGGAGCAAAAGTTACACCAAATTGAAACATATGGAGGATTTTTAGCTTGCTCTTTCACCAGAGTAGGTATTTTCCTACTGAACCCAGAAACAGTGTTACTGCCTCACCAAGACCTTCAAGCCTAACAACAGTTCCATTTTTCAAGAGCTTGTTGGTAATTTATGAAATGAAGGTTATCTTGTCAACATTAGTTATTTGAGGCTCAATCATTAATTGGGATGAGAAGGATATTCTGCTATATTATGCCAACACTGCTTTTATAAGAAACCAATAGCACACTCATAAGGGGTGAAAGGGAAGGCAGCATAAGCATTTAACAAAAGCAGCAGTAACTGTCTAGAGCACCTATTCAGAAATAATAAATTATCCTGAAATAAGTATAGGCTGAAAAATGCTTCCAAAAAGGATATTTTTACAGTAAATGAGGGAAAACACCTATCTTCTACCTTTTTTTATTCCAGATAAGAATGCACTGAAGGCTGGTGCACCCCAGCCTGGCTAAGTGTCACCCACTCTTCCTACACTTACTTTCTAGGAGAGGCAGGAATGCCAGGGTGGACCATCAGATCAGTGTAACTTCGGATATTTTGAAATCTTTAACTTGAGAACACAGCTCAGCTATGATTAGAAAAAACCATAATATATATCAACAAAATACATTTCAATATTTCCACACTAAAAAAGAAGTGTATTTCAACTATGGGTATTTATTTCACATAACTGTCTTTATAGCTCATCTAGAAATGTATAGGTCTTAGAGCATTTGAACAAAGGCAGTTTAGATGTGCTCTTTTTCTGCCTTTTAAATTAAGACTGCAAGCATAAAACAAAAGTTTGTTTCCTAAAAGATTTAATACAAATCCAAATATCATTTCCCTGTTTTAAAAACTTAGATTTTACCTCAGATAATACTAAGAATGTAAATGAAGTTGATTAAGACAGTTAAGAATAAAATAAAACCAGGGTAATTAATATGCTTGTGAGACTGACTAATACAGAAGAGTACAACTAAGGTATGGGAAATAAGTGAATGTATGTTCTCTGTATAAATACTTTTAGAAACTATCAAATATCAAATTTTTGAGCCTAGAAATAATAACTAGTGAAATATAAGCCATAGTATTTAACTTCATTCGTTGAAGGCAGAAATAAAGAGAGCCAAAACTGATGCAGTTATTTCTGTCTTCTAGGAAACAAAACCTTAAAATATGAGTGAATCCAGTAGCACTGAATGTAATACATTTAAAACATACAACAGTAAGGAGTTTAAATATGGCAAATGCCAGGCATGGTGGTGCACAGCTGGAACCCCAGCATTAGGAAGGCTGAGGCAAGAGGATCACCAGGAGTTCAAGGCCAACCTGACCTACATAGTGAGACGCCCTGTCAGAAAGAAAAAAAGGAAGAAAGGAAGGAAAGGAAAGAAGGCGAGAAAGAAAGCCATCCAAAAAGTAAAAATTATCCATAGAATAGGCTGGGGAGAAACGGTTGGTTAGAGTGAGTCACAGGCAGAGGTATGACATAAGATATCGTCTTCCTTCTCCGATGTACCGTTTCAAAGAGTAAAAGAGCTCAGTAAAAACTGTCCTCGAAGAAGGAAGCATTGTACTCCCACCTCTCTGGGCTGCTGAGGCAGGATTCCAAACTCAAGGCCAGCCTGAACTATGTAGTGAGACCCTATCTCAAAAAACAGTAAGACAAAAAGAAAACCTCCAGTGTCCTTGACAGTTTTTGGTATGTGCTGGGGATCGAACCCAGGGCCACACGCATCTAGGCACGCACTCCTACTCAGCTGCATACCCAGCCCTGAACTTGGATTAAAGTCAAGACATACTCACTCATGGTCTAAGTAAATCAGTCACTGGCCACAAAGTAAATATAAAATGAAATAAAAGTTCGAATTGGTGTTTGTAGGTAAGATTTTGAAGTTCACATTTTCACATTTGTTGTGCACATTTTAAAACTTCTTTTCCTGCAGCTTCAACATCCACCCAGACGGGCTGTGAGCTCCTGGTGCAGGCAACCAGTGTGATGGCACAGGTGGCCGCTTCCAGAAGCCATTCCCTCTACTGCCCTGACCATGCCTAGAAGCCCACAGATGCACCACTGAAGCCCCTCCTTTGCTGTGTGCCCCTGCCCTCTGGCACGGCCCTGGGCCCGAGCTCAGTCCTCACTCACTGGTGTGCCCCCTGTGGCCCTCCTGTGCGCAGCACATTGACCACCTCTCTTGCACCTGTGAAGATGATGCATAGTTTTGCCTCATATCTCTCCTGTCTCCTCTGGTGAGCAGACCTCACTGCCCACCACCCAAAGAAGCCATGTTCTGTTTGTCCCGTTTCACAGTAATGTCCTCTAGAGAAAATCAGCCTCACCGTGCCGGGCGACCACTACTCACATTATGTATTTTGGTTTTTGTTTTAGGCACACAGTTGCACTGTGGTCTGGGTGATTTGATTTTATTGCCTTTTCTCCCTAAAATGGATAAACCCAGCTGAGAGTTAAGAGTTACCTTTGTGGGGCTGGGGCGAGGCTCAGTGGTAGAGCCCTTGCTAGCATGCGTAAGGCCCTGGGTTTGATCGCAAGCACTACCAAAAGAGAGAAAAAAGTTCCCCCCAAAAAGGAAAAAAATTCCACCACCAATTGAAGTCAGTCCCTGCATGTACTTGCCAGATAAAAACATTTCTAATTTCTGCAGTTTCAGTAACATTAAAAATCAGGTTGGGGATTTGTGTTACTAACTCCTTTGGCCAGGAATTGGCATCTAAACAGCCCTCTCGTTGGCCCTCTGACCCCAGCTGCCAGCATCTGTAGTAATGAACAGGACCACAGGGGGAACAAACGAGGCAGAGTGGCCCAGTGAGCTGCAGTCTGCAGCAACACTAAGCCCTGTACTTATCAGTGTCCCTGGTACAGGACAAAGAGCAGCAAGGGTTAGTGGTTTAAGCATGAGCTCTGGAGTCAGACTTGGTCCAAAATCAGACTTTCACATTTCCAAGATGTATCACTGTGGATAAATTAATCTCATTCTAATTCTGTTACCTTTGAGACAGTAAAAAGTAGAACTCCCTGGCTTCATAGGGTTATAGCAAAGTTTAGG